TAAGTAGACTTTTCGTCCAAGATGAAGTTCCACCTTCCACCATTATATTTCGCATACGGCGTCTTTCCGTCCCTAAGATATAATAGGATAAGATAAGATAGGATCAGATCAGATCAGATCAGATCAGATCAGATCAGATCAGATCAGATCAGATCGGATCAAATCAGATCTAGTCAGATCAGATAAGTAGAAATAAAATGTTAAGATAACAAAAATTAGGGGATATATATAAACTGACACAAAATAGATACAATAGGACAAGGAGAGAAAAAAAGAAGAGACTGCTAAATACGACCAAATAATTGACTGAATTAAGTGAGATAAACTAAGCTGAAGTGGCGTTTAATGTAAAAATTTAGATAACATGACGTTTACCAGAATCTGTTGTGACAGACGATGGGCAGACCGGTCTTTTGGTAGAGGTATCTGTGGAGAGTTCAGAGACATCAGAATGGCCTATTACAACCATAGACTTGAATCATAATATCCCAGACAATGAACTGTCATGGCTGTCGCTCTTTACTTTCTATGTAAACTTTGCTTGGAGTGACCACACTACGGGTCCCCAAATGAAGGGCCAAACATCAGTCTCGCTATATAGAGTGGTCAAAAATTCGTGGCGCAACTTATTTTCAAATACTTTCTAAACTATCGAACATAGGCTCTTCACCTTTTGCTCAATTACTTGTATCAGTTCGTCTTAACAGAACGAAATTTTAGTAGACATCTGTTAGCTGTATTCCAGAAAATTCCTTTAATAAAATATTAATTAAAAAACCCAAGCGGGTGATTTCTTTAGATTTTAAAAAGTTTACAGTAGAAGCAATGTCGGTTTTGAAAGCAAGCCTGTCAGTCTTTTTTTCTAATCGCAACATTACGCTTATTGAACGCATGTTTTGAGAACCTTTAGAGCAAAAATATGTTCACTATAACATTAATTTCTTGTAGCAAATTTTTTCACTAAAAAGTATCCTAGGTGAGTTGTGACGCAGGCCATATGCGTATGCAAAGTGTGTGTGAAAAACGAGAAGTACTGAGAACAATTCCATTTTCCGCTTGAAGGAGTTTTATAGTATCTTATATAAATTTATGAAAAAAGGTAACATATTGTAAGTATACATTTATACTATCATAGCACAATCAATGACGATAATACGCACATCACATTATGAAGATAAGAGTACTATGAAAAAGGATTAACTACTAAGATGGCATTTCATAAGGTATGATTTTAAAATAAATTATAAATTTAGACTAAGACTGTATCCCTCAAATACTGCAACCTACTTGAAACCGTGAGGGAACGAGGTGTTGACGGGTGTCCATGTCATCGTTCCTTGTGTGGGGCCCTTGGGATACCAAAAAGAGTCGAACTGCACGTATCTATGGAGAATGTAAAAGTTATTTTCATCATCAGTATCAT